GGCGGGGTGGGGCGGGGGCGCGTTCCAGTGCACTGCAAGCAGGTTGCTTTTTTAACACACTAGTTTTTGTTTGTTTGTTTGTTTTTAGGAGTTTCTTCCTTTCCCAAATTCTTTATTTCATTTATTTATGTCTTTTTGAAACTGGTCTCACTCTGCAGTTCAGGCTGGCCTTGAGCTCACTTTGTAGCCCGCATGGCCTGCGGTGCTGAGGATCACACCGCGGTCTTTGTGCTTGCCCGGCAGGTGCTTAGAGCACCAAGCTGTCTCCCAGGCTTATTTCATAATCTTAAGCATGTTAAATCTTAGTTTAAAATTAAAAATACTTCCGACTGATGTTTTGAGCCAGGGTCTCATTTTAGGCTGGCCTTGAGCTCACTGTAGCCCAGGGGCACTCAGACTCCCAGTGGCTCTCGGCCCCAGCGTCCCCAGGGCTAGTGCAGGTGTGCACCACACGCCCTGCTCAGCGTAGACTCGGAGTGAAGGAAAAACAGAAACGGGTAAAACAAAAATTCAGGCAAACACGTTTTTTTGTCCAAAGAAATTCCTTAAGATTTAGGAACTTGAATTCCAAAGATTTTTGACCAGCTGCTACACAGCAGGCGCTGTCCCGTTGGGCACAGGGCTGCCCTGGTGAGTTTGCGTCAGGGAGGGAGGCAGGCGTGCAGCAGTCCTGCTGCAGATCCAGCTAGGAGTTTCCTGGAACTTAGCGGGGCGAGTGGGTTCCTGGGCTGCTCCCCACCCCTGGCTGGGCGACAGGTCCCCGGGAGGGCTTCTCGGTGGGAGTGGGAGTAGGTCAGGATTCCCAGGGGTGGGAGAAAAGCTGCACAGGTTGGGCTGATGCAGGTTCTGGTTAAACAAAAAAAAAAGAAGAGCGGTGGTTCTTAAACTTGGATCGCTTGGAGAGATTTTGAAGCCCCCTACGACCAAATAGGAGACCTAGTACATCTATACTTTTATTTTTATTTTTCTGTGGGTTTTTTGGTTTGGTTTGGGGTTTTTTTTTTGGTCATTTTGAGACAGGGTCTCGCTCTGCATTCAGGCTGGCCAGGAGCTCACTTTGTGGCCCAGGCTGGTCTCGAACTCACAGCGATCTTCCTGCCTCAGCCTCCCGAGTGCTGGGATCCCAGGCGTGCGCCTCCAGCCTGGCGGGATGGTTCTGATCTGCAGCCAAGCCAAGAGCGCTGAGCCCCCCCGCATTGCCCGGCCAGGCAGACGTCGTGCTGCTGGTCTTTGGAACTGCATGTTCTGTAATACTTTTGATGTGTAAGAAAAGAATGAGTCACAGATCCTGATTTCTTTCCTGTGTTTATTTCCCACCCTTACACAATCTCACGTTAGCCTCGGTCGGGCGCTGCCGTGGAGCGGGCTAGCTAAAACGTTGCTGGTTCCTCGTCGCGGCTCCTCGAAAGCCTGGGCTGTGCGGGCGCGCGCTTCCCACGCTGCGTCCCCGCTGACCTGTGCGTCTTGCCTGTTTTCCCAGACACTTCGTTTATGACCACGTCTTTGCGGAGAAGATCGCGTCCCTGCACAGCCAGCAGAGCCCCGAGGAGGAGGAAAACGGGCGCCTCAAGAAGACGGTGAGCGTGCTGCAGGCGCAGCTGAGCCTGGAGCGCCAGAAGCGCCTGGCCGTGGAGGAGGAGCTCGGGCTGGCGCTGAAGGAGAACCGCGAGCTGGAGCAGCAGCTGAGGGCCGCCGACGCCTGCGGCGCGCGGGCGCTCGAGCTGGAGGCCGAGGTGGCCGCGATGCGCCGCGCGCTGCAGGCCGAGCACCCCTGGGCCAACGGCGTGGACACGCCGGCGCTGGACGCCCTGCTGGCCCCCGAGCCCAGCCAGAGCCTGCTGGAGGAGATGTTCCTGACGGTCGCCGACGCCTACCGCAGGCCCCTGCAGCGCAGCAGCAGCGACACGGTGCTCGGCGGCCCCGCGGCGGGCCAC